TGTGGCGTAATTTACAGAAAGGATCGTGGCCCGGGGGGCGCGAGAGCGGCGTAATTTATGAGGGATCGTTGCCTCGGGGGCGCGAATGTGGGGTAATTCGCGCGGGATCGTGGCCTCGGAGGCGCAAGTGTGGCGTAACTTACGAGGGATCGTGGCCTGGGGAGGTGAATGTGGAACCCACCGCCGAATTTTCCAGCAGAAAGGGGGGGGGGGGGGGGGGGGGGCAAAAGAGTATCAGCGGAGCACATATCCCAATACAGAAAATTATATTTTCTTCTGCTTTGGAGAAGGGGAGCGCCTTTTCGTCAGCCTCCGCACGGCGGATTTGTTGTCTCGGGGGCGCGCCAGCCGCGTAATTTACGCGGGATCGTGGCGTCAGGGGTGCGAATGTGTCGTAATTTACAAAGGATCGTGGCCTCGGGGGCGCGAAAATTATGTAAATTAGGTGGGATCGTGGCTTCGGGGGCGCGAATGTGGTGTAAATTATAAGGGATCGTGGCCTCGAGGGCGCGAACGGGCAGTAATTTACAAAAGATCGTGGCCTCGGAGACGCAAGTGCGGCGTAAATTAAAAAGGATCGTGGCCTCGGAGACGCGAACGTGGTGTAAATTACAAAGGGTCGTGGCCTCGGAGACGCCAATGTGGTGTAATTCGCGAGGGGTCGCGGCCTCGGGGGCGCGAATACAGGGTAATCTGCAAGGGATTATGGCTTGGTGGGCACGAAACTCCCGTATTCATACTTGTCCCACGCCCCCCCCAGAAATTCTGAGAACCCTCTCCGGGGACGCTAACCGGGGCCCTTTTCGGCTCCCCCCCCTCGCGCGGACAGTAACAATTTACAGTAGGAAGCAAAAAGCAGTACTGTAAGAATGGAAACTGGAACTGGCGCAGGGAGCAGCAACCTTAATCCTCGCAGCCTGATGGCCCCGCAAGGGGGCCGACGGATATCGGAGGTTGGGGGGTGAGATCGACATGGAACGGAGAGGCCCCCTACCGGGAAATCTATTTGGGTTTCGTGTTCGTGCCGTGCGTGCGGGCGAGGCGAAGCTGCGTCGGCGGGAGAAAAGCAATTCTCCTGCGGCTGGGCCGCGGCTGGACAAAAAGGTTCTCCGCCCGGCAACCGGTGACGCGCGGTGTCCCGCCGATGTCCCGCTGGTGTCCCGCTGGTGTCCCGCCGGTGTCCCGTCGTGGCTGGGCCGCGGCCGGACCAACAGGTTCTCCGCCAGGAAACCGGTGGCGCGCGGTGTCCCGCCGGTGTCCCGCTGGTGCCCCGCTGGTGTCCCGCCGGTGTCTCGTCGTTGTCCCGTGGTGTCCCGTGGTGAGATCGACAATGAGATCGATCGTGAGATAGATAGTGAGATCGATAATGAGACAGATAGTGAGATCGATAATGAGATCGATAGTGAGAGATCGATAGTGAGATCGGTTGGGGGGGAATGGTACCAAGGCGCCCAAGAGCGGAAAGGTGACGTAAACAACTCGACACCAAGGCTCCCAAAAGCGAGCGGCAACGCAACGATCTCCACTGGCATCGTCAGAACAACAATCACCACTGTTGCGCATTGCTGGCCCCCTCCCCCCCAACCTCCTTATCACCCGCAGGGTGGTTGTTTTGGTATATACACCTATACGACCACCCTTCGGGTGATAAGGAGGTTGCGGGGGGGGGAATGGGGGGAACCAACATCTGACTCAATCGATCTCACTATCGATCTCACTCAACTGGACACCACGGGACACTTGTCGATCTCACTATCGATCCCACTATCGATCTCATTCAACGGGACACCAGGGGACACCACGGGCCACCACGGGACACCACGGCACATCGCGGGACACCTCTCGATCTCCTTATCGATCTCACGATCAAATCTCACTATCGATGTCATTCAACTAGACACCATAGGACACCACGGGACACCACATTGATCTCACTATCGATCTCACAATCGATCTCACTGTCGATCTATCTATCGATCTCACTCAACGGAACACCTCGGGGCACCACGGAACACCTGTCGATCTCACGATCGATCTCACTGTGAATATCACTTTTTGAGACACCGCGGGACACCTGGGGGGAACACATCGATATCAGTATCGATCTCACGATCGATCTCACTCAACGGGACACCACGGGACACCTCTCGATCTCACTATCGATTTCGCTATCGATCTCCATTCTTGGGACACCACGGGAAACCTTGGGGCACCACATCGGTCTCAGTATCGATCTCCTTATCGGTCTCACAATCGATCTCACTATCGATCTCACTATCGGTCTCACTATCGACCTCACTCAACGGGACACCACGGGACACCACGGGACACCACGGGACACCGCGGGACACCGCGAGCCACTGCCGGACGGGCGGGCGGGGGAGAATCATTTGTCTTGAGTCTTGACTTCGCCCTAACAGCGGCGGACACCACGGGACACCACGGGACACCACGGGACAACACGGGACACCGCGAGCCACCGCCGGACGTGCGGGCGGAGGATAATCATTTGTGTTGGCTTCGCCCTAACAACGGCGGGTTCATTCCCCTCGCGCGCCCACGCAGCTTCGCCTCGCTCGCACGCGCGACACGAACAAAACGAAAGGATTTCCCGGTTGGGGGGTCTCCGTCCCGCTGCGATCTCACCCCCCAACCTCCGACACCACGCACACGTTCAGGGGTGTGATGCACACAAAAAGAGCCAAACTGTTTGTTCAACACCCATACCAGCTTCATCCATATTACGTTAAACCGTGTCAAACAATGTTAGGACAGGATTAAAATTTCGAGCTCAGTATTACAAACGCACACACACACACACTTTACCGCACCAAGTAAAACGTTAACTTCGTTTGCGCGTTCGCGTTGTGCGTCTTTCTCAAATATTGGCTTCGGCATGTTGAACGAAACATGTCAGCATGCTCATAATTCGCTATAGCGCATAGAAGTGTCATTGTGACAGGTGACCGAATATGTTTTACTTTGGTACCGAACTTCCCATTTGAGAGAGCGTGATCCACCGCCGCTTTACTGTGGAAAATTCCCCCCTTCTTCCTCCGGAAACCGGGGTTTCCCCCCCCCTCCGAAAATCCCCCCCCTGCTCGAACCCCCCCCCCCATTCCCCCGGCCCCCCCCCCCCGCCCTAACCCCTGCCCCCCCCCCTCCTGAAAACCGGGGGGGGGTCACTACCGGCTCGGCTCGAACCGCCTCCCCCCCCCCAAAAAACCAGGGGGGTCACTACCGGTTCGAACCCCCCTCCCACTGACCGCCAGCAAACGACTTCCGCCGTCCGCACCACCGCCCCCACCGCTGTCCGCTGTCCCCAGCACCACCGACCCCAGCACCACTGTTCCCACTGTTCCCATCCCTGTCCCCACTGTCCCCGCCAGTGCCCCCACCACTCTCGCACTGTCCCCACTGTCCCCACCACTGTTCCCACCACGGTCCAACTCTCCCCACTGACCCCTCAATCCCCACCACTGTCCCACTATCCCCACTGCCCCCACCACTGTCGCCACTGTCCCCGCTGTTCCCGCCGCTGTCCCCCTGAGCTGTCCCACTGTTCCCACCACTGTCGCCACTGTCCCCACCACTGTCCCCACTGTACCACTGTTCACTGTCGCATTGTCCCACCACCGTCCTCACCACCGCCCTCACCACTGTCCCCACCACCACCGTCCCCACCACTGTCCCACTGTCCCCACTGTCCCCGCCACTGTCTCACTGTCCCCACTGTCCCCGCCACTGTCTCACTGTCCCCACACCACTGTCCCACTGTCCCCACTGCCCCCACCACTGTCCCACTGTCCCCACTGTTCCCACCATTGTCCCCGCTGTCCCCACCAGTGCCCCCACCAGCGTCTCACTGTCCCCACTGTCCCCACCACTGTCCCACCACGGTCCCACTCTCCCCAATGTCTCCACTATCCCCACCACGGTCCCCACTGTCCCACTGTCCCCACCACTGTCCCACTGTCCCCACTGTCCCCGCCGCTGTCCCACTGTGCTGTCCCACTGTCCCCAGTGTCACCACCACTGTCCCGCTGTCCCCACTGTCCCCACCACTATCCCATTGTCCCGCCACCGTCCTCACCACCGCCCTCACCACTGTCCCCACCACGACCGCCCCCACCACTGTCCCACTGTCCCCACTGTCCCCACCACTGTCCCGCTGTCCCCTCACTATTGTCTCACTGTCCCCACCACTATCCCACTGTCCCCTCACCACTGTCGCCACCACCACCGTCCCCACCACTGTCCCAGTGTCCCCACCACTGTCCCACTGTCCCGAGGAGCGGGATTCGTTTGCCGGTGGAGGGGGAGTTCGAACCAGTAGTGACCCCCCCCCCCCCGAGTTTTCGAGCGGGTGGGTGGGGACGGGTTGAGAACCTCCGATGACCCCCCGCCCCCCGTTTTCTGTCAGCATTCCGAATGGTAGCGCTGCCATACATGAGTGACAATGCTTGTACGTACGATACGGTGAAGGCATTGGATAATGAACAACTGGATAAGGAACCCAGGTTCTGGAAGCCTGCGGAACTCCAACCTTGGAGTGGCCATGGGTACCACCGCCGCCCTCATCGGATAAGGAATCCTCCAGGGTCTGGCGCCTCGTGGGACTATTCCTTAACAAACGCCTCCACCTTAGAACACCTCCAAGTGGTTATATCAGGACGTGTGTGCACTGAACCATCTATGGCGATCTAAACCAAAGTAACACCAACGTTCATCTAAGTGGGGGCCCTTCCAGGCCTTCGGCATCGTCAAGAAACAACTCAGGATGAAAAACCAATCCTGGGGATGCGTCGATACCTCTCGGGTCGACGTCCTGGAAAATAAAAAACATGACGTCGGGGGTCTGGTTAAACAATGCTTTCCGTATTCGCTATGTTCTTGTCGTCCCTCGTTCCGTATTCGCTCCGCCTTTGCTGCAGAAAGAGACCGAAACGGAGACGGTCCACGAGATCGCCAAACACACAATTTAGCTCGAGCCCTGTGACCTGCATCAGGGTCGGCTGAGGCACCGCCACAGCTGGCGCGACGGCTGCGGGCTGCGCCGCCATCTGTGGCGCGACGAAGCCGAGCTGGCCCATCATCGGCTGCGACATCGCCTGCGCCGACATCGGGGCAACCTTCTCGGCGGCTCAAGGGTGGGGGCTTTGGGGAGTGGGGCCTCAGGGCGAGTAGCCTCAAGCAGTGGAGGCTCAGCTTGGCATCCGTCTCCTAGCCTCAGTGGTCCCGTCCTTCGAGGACGGAGCGCAGAGGGGCCCTCCTCTCGCTTGCAAGCAGCGACTGATGTCATGAACCTCGTGAAGAAATGCTGGCGATCACTGATCACCCCTCAGGGCCCTGTCTTCTCGGCCGCAAGCAAGGAAGGCCCTATGCAAGAGTGACAGTGTGGTGCGCGGCCTTAGAAGGCCACGGGGGGCCAAATCCAAGCGCGCGAAGCAGGGCGGGGGGGACCCCGTGGGCCCGCACCAGAGGTCACTCCTGCGACGGGTCCCTCCCCAAATCCCCGACATCGTGACTTTCAAAAGCGTGGGTGCCCAGAGGCCTGCGCCCCTTCCTGGGGGCCGGTACAGTCGGGGCCCTGAAGAAGGAACCCTTTTGGTTGGGGAGGGGCTCCGCGTTCCTTAAGTGTTTCGCAGCTTGCCTCAGGTTTTCCTTATGTTTTCGATCGGAAATCGAAGTGTAACTTATGGAAAAAAAGGGGCCTCGTTCCTTATTTAGGGTTCCTTAGGTCAAGGCCCCGACTGCACTCCATCCTGAATTGCCTTTGTTATGGCCCCGGGGCCGGGTAAAGGCCCCCAGAGACAGAACATACGGAAAACCTTCCGTCGAGTTGTTTTTAGGCGGCGACATCCGGTGAAAACCAACCGTCAGTTCTCCTCAATCGATGGGAGGCGCGGGCAGGGTTGAGACTTCGTCGCGTATTCGACGACGTCTGAAGCCTACCCCCGCCGACTTGCCCGAATCGTTGGTCGGCGAGGGTAGGGCTCGGATTTCGCAGCCGGCTGACGCAGAACATCAAGAACCCCTTCCGTCGCGTTGTTATGTTTCGCAGCGCGGGGAGGTCTGGGTGTTCCGCCTGGCCAGTCTTCGAACCGCCGCAGCCTCGCGCGCACGCCTGCTCTTGGGCGCGCCGGCCTGCTTGCGCACGGCGTAGCCGCAGGCGCAGATCACGGCGCACGCGAGCAGCAGGGCGATGCCCCAGAGGGGCCGCATGACGATCCAGACCACTCCCATGGCGAAGAGCGCGCAGGAGAGGCCGACGCTGCACGAGATGCAACACAGGACAGAGTCCACCACCCCCTCGATGAAGTTCTCCAGGTACCCTCCGACGCAAGGGATCATGTTCGCGATGCCCCCGAACGTCTCGGCCATGGCAGAGAGAGGCGACAGTATGCAGTAAACGCTCACCCAGGCCAGCACGCAGAACACAATCCGCAAGAGGACCACCATGGCGCCGTTGGCCGCGTTCAGGTTCGCTATGGCCTCGTCCTTGGACACGCTGCCCTCCGTCAGCGCCTGCCAGGGCTTTCCCGGGCAGCCCCAGGACGAGGGCGTGTCCTGCGTCGTCGTCTCTCCGCTGCCTTTCTAAGCTTCCTAGATGGGGGCCGAGTAGATGGGGTCGGAGGGTCGCGCCGCACCGCCGATGCATAGTCGACGCCGGCGGTGCAATGGCGACGACTGCGGGGAGAAATCTGGCTCCACATCGACCCGCATCGGCGATGCATCGGCGATGCATCGGCGATGCGGCGCGATCTTTCGCCCCCGCCTGCTCGGACCCCATCTAGGAGGCCCAGAGCCTTTCACGTGGGTGAACACCGACACGGCTTCGGCGTCGTTCTTCGCGAAGCGGAGCCTCATGCAGCCGACCGGTGGGCTGTCCTGCGCGCAGCTGCTCGCGGGCGGGCCTCCCGCCGCAGCGGACACGGCTGGCACGAGAACGTCGGAAGCCGCCTTCCTAGTCGGGGGCAGCTGCCCCACGAGGCCATGGTTGAGAACGAAAGGCTCAGCACTGTGCTTCACCGCTGTCTTGACCTGCTCGGCATACTCTCCGTGCGATCCGAGGAGGCCGTCCGGGATGCCCTGCAGCCCCTGGTACAACTCCACGCCAGGGCACGACTGTCTGGCATTGGCGGAGGGATTGGATATGACTGGGAGCACCTCCGTTGCCCATTGCATCGCGTACGTGCACTTCGTGACCTTCTGGTTCTGTCCATGCACGATCTCTGTGGATTCAGAGCAGCTTTTTTGGCACTGTCGAAGTTCTGCGACCATCTGTCCCGAAACAGAGCTGAACCGAACGTTATGAAGCGCCTTCTCGTTGTCCTGATAGAACTTGCTGCTACTCTCCAAAAAGTCCTCCGCTGTAAAGACACGAAAGGATGCCTTGTCCAGAGGGCAGGAGAAGAATACAAAGTCATCGTTCAAGCCAGAACTGTCGCACGGCACGTCTTTAGCCTTGCTCGACGCGAACATGATGCGCTTCTGCTCGCACACATAGTTGTTCTCATTCCAGCCTACCATGTACAAGCTGATGGGAAGCATCACCAGCCCGACGCACATCGAGCCACAAGAATTCCGGAACTTGCCGCATGGCCCCCCCTGCACGCCAGCCTCGATGTCGGCCCCACCCACCATTGTTGAACAATGCAGCACGACGGAAAGCACAGTCGGCACCACGCAAGATGGCTCCAGACAAGAGTGACATTTGGTGCGCGGCTTCATGGGGGGCACTAGGGGGACATACTCAAGAGCGCAGGGCCGCAACCATCGCATCGAACCAAGGTCGGGCAAGCGGCGTGACTGGTTAATGGTGATTCGAGGTCTGGGTGCTGGTTTCTGCCAGAGTACATGTCCGATGCGCGTACAGGCTACGCAAAGAGATTGCTTCTGAGAAAGCGCAAGCAGATTCACAGACAAAACCCGCCTACAATGTCGTACCGTACCGCGCTGACACGGGTCGCACCGTTTGCCCGCCTTTGGTAGCATTCAGCGACCAGGGGGGCTTAGTAGGCTCGCACCAAAGGTCATTCCAACGAAGGGCCCATATTACGTGCAGCCGAAAGAGACGCGGCTCAATGTGAGCTTCCTCGCTAGCCCCCTTTGAGCCAAGCAGCTGCAAAAGGGGCAGGGGAAGTGGGGGGCGTCCAAAAAGAGGGTTTGCAAATCATGGGCCGAGGCATGTGCGCGGATGAGTTGGGGACCAAGGGACGCGTTCAATCGGGAGCCATACAATCCGAGTAGATTTCATGGCCCTGGCCACGATATCCACGCACCCCTAGTCATCAGCTCCCTCTTGGACGCTCCCGGGAGGAGCGGGAGGTCGGGGGAACGGACTGGGACGACCAAAGTGCACTGCAGTGTGTCCTCGGGCAGCGCGGAGCTGCCTGCGTGAGGCATGGGGCAGCCGGATTTTCGCACCGCCACGCCTGGCAGTCACCCGCGACCCCGCGGGACAGGGGGAGCTCTCTGGCCCAGGGCGGGATCATCAGGAAGGCGAGGGGAAGGAGAAGGACCAAAGCAATCCCAAGATGCATCAGCGATGCAGCAGTACACCCTCCCGTCCAAAGTCACCTGCCCACACGTCCCTACAAGCTGCATTTTTGATGGGTTTGTTTTCCACCACCACCACAATAAGTGGGAGGGGGAGGGGTCCTCCTCTTCCTCCTCCTCCTCCTCCTCCACCTCCTCCTCCTCCTCTTCCTCCTCCTCATCCTTCAACTCCTCCCCCCTTCCAACTTATGGTGGTGGTGGTGGAAAACAGGCCCATCACTTTTGAGTCGGGGGACCCTCGCGTCCTCCCTTTCCCTCCACGCCCCCCGGCGCCGCGCCGCCGCATGGCGTGCCCGACCCGCGTCCACAGGTGGCCCCGGGGGCGGGCGGGGCGGCGGCGGCGAGATCGGGCGTGGCGAGCCGCCTCCTCCTCCTCCTCCTCCTCCTCCTCCTCCTCCTCCTCCTCCGCCTCGATGTAACAAATAACGAATACGGCGGAGGCATTGAATAAGGAAGCCTTGGATAAGGAATCCTGAGTCTGGAAGCCAGTGGAACTGCAATTGTGTATCGGCCAGGGGCATCGCCACCGCCCTCATCAGCTAAGGAATCCTCCGGGGTCTGAAGCCTCCTGGGCGCATGGCTTAACCAATGCCCCCACCGTATATGGAGTTCGAAATGTTCGCCCCCGCATTTTGGAGGATGTCGGCCCCGTCGGGACCCTGGAGGTGCACACACACACACACACACACACACACACACACACACACACACACGACGACGTCGACCACAACATGCTTACAATGACTGCAAACGTGCCTGCGAAGAAGGGCAGCAACACATGTTTGCACAACACAATGAGGGACCTTGCCAGTTCCCAAGTGTATGAGGGCTCAACGCCACGCGTGCCAGCATCACAATGGCCTGCGAACACCACAATGTGCTTATGGACCTTGCCAGTAGCACACGATTGCCTGCAAGCGCAACGATATGCCTGTGAACGCCACGGGGCCCTGCACATACGGCACCGTGCCTGTGAGCGCCACGTGTCTGTGCACATCACATACCACCAGACTGTCCACACCAGCTTGTGTCAACCTCCGTGTTCCCTCCTCCCTTCTCCTCCTCCTCTTCCTCCTCCTCCTCCTCTTCCGCCTCCTCTTGGTCCTCCTCCTACTTCTCCTCCTCCTCCTCCTCCTCCCCCTCCTCCTCCTCCTCCTCCTCCTCCTCCTCCTCCTCCTCCTCGTGTGTGATCACAAAAAGGGGCTTGCGAACACCGCGACGCGCCTGTGAGCAACGCGATCAATTTCTTGTGACCATCGGACGGCGATTGAAGCCGGACCGTGCCGATGCCACAATTGCAAACGACCGCAGTACTCATGAGCAGCAGTCTGCTGGACCCTAGCAATGCCACGATATTCTTCGATTGCTGCGATATGTCTGCGAGCGCAGGTAGTGAGCCTGCGAGCACCGCAAGATGGCTGCGAACACCGCAGTGTGCCCAAGAGCGCCACCAGATGCAAGTGAACACCACCGTGACGCGCGAGGGCCACAGCTCGCAAGGTGCGCGTGGCCACCGCTATAGCCTGCAAACGCCACCACGAGCATGTGAGCGCGACGGGCCGGACCTGCCCCCTCGTGGGATGGTAGTTTCAGTGGGGTGGATGACGCGTGTTATGTCCCCCGCCGTACAGAGGCACTTTCTCGGGGGCGCGCAAACATGGATTAGCCGTCCATGGATTTGGCGCGCGGTCGCCAAATCCAGGGATCGGGGGAGGTGCCCTCCCCAACATGCGGCCGGTGACGCCTCGTTTGGCGGCTGAAATCCTCGATTTCCCGCCGCTAATCCACGCCTCCGTAGGCCATGTGTTGCGATCGCCTGACTTTCCTTTCTCGCACCGCAGATCGATCGTTCGACGTCGGCCGAGCTCAGCTCGGCAGTGACATTCTGCCTGGCACGCCCGGGAGGGGGCCGCCGGAGCGCCGGGACACGAAGCAGACCTGCCGCACACCCTGCCCGTCCTCCGGATGGTCGGCCATGGCACAGCTGGTGAGACCGCTCCCCCCGCTGCTGGGCCTACGTGGGAGGCGTGGTGCCCGAAGCGGCGCCGGCCTGCAGCTCGGACCAAAAAGGCTGCAGGCAGGCACCTCCGCTCGTGGGGGCCCCGCATCCAGCCCCCGCCGGCGTCGTCGTCGTCGTCGTCGCCGTCGTCGTCGTCGTCGTCGTCGTCGTCGTCGTCGTCGTCGTCGTCGTCGTCGTCGTCGTCATCGCCGTCGTCGCCGTCGTCGCCGTCGTCGTCGTCGTTTTCGTCGTCGTGCGACGCGCTCGCGTCGGCCAGCCTGGCTCAGCCCATGTCCCACCTCGTTCGCTCGGCGGGCCAAGAACGGTACAACTTGGGCGTCGCCTGACGGGGGGGCGATGAATGTTGGAGGCCTGGAAATGGGCACCAACGCCAACACGGGGGGCTGCCTCCACAGGGGGGAGGCGATCCTAGATTCCGGCGTTGGCGGTAATATGTCGGTCACCCTGAAACCAGAATATGACCACCATCACCGAGATCGGGATCTTCTTCCCTCGGTGGAGGCACACCGCCGATATTGGTGTTGGTGTCAACCTCTAGGCCTGCGAAAATGGGGGGAAGGGAGGTGGACTTTGCGGGCCCTGGGAGCCCCCTTTTGGGCCCCAAAGGGTCCCTTTAGGGGCCCCTTTTCTGCAGCCCTCGCTGCCCCCCCCCTCCCCCCATGCATCGCCCCCCATTACGCGACGCCCATATAACATTACATTTGTCCACCATCGGGGGCGCCTGTCCCACGGCGGCAAGGTAGTCTATACCTCCACGGTGGCACGTGGGGGTGTAAGCGTTCAAGTCGCCCTGGGGCAGGCGCCCCCGATCGCGGAACAGTTTCTCGCATACCGTTCTTCGTCCGCTTGCTCGGCTGTATGCTCTCCAACGCCCCTCCCGGCGCACGCTGGTGCCCCTCGTCTCCGATGCGCTCTGGTGTGCTTCGCCCCTCTGCAGCCCCCCGCAGCCACGAGGGCCGGGGTGATGGGCTGGATCGGGAGGAGGAGGAGGAGGAGGAGGAGGAGGAGGAG